GTGTGTATGTATGTGTGTCGTGCACTGCATGCGAATCAAGGGCCCAAGGAGCCAACAAAGAGCATTATGTATTGGCGCACCTTCTTTTCACGTTTCGTATTTGTATGTATTTCCTTCCTCCTTCCCTTAGGTATTCGCTTTACCCATAGCCAGATGGACAGAAAGATGGACAGATGGATGGATGTGTGCGGGTCGAGTGACAGGGCAGGCCAGCCTGCCTGCCCTTTTCGGACGGACCTTTTTCGGCTGTGTTTTCCTGAGCAGCTCTTTTTCGCCCAGCAAGAGCTAGAGCTAGAGCATTGCGTATCTCTGTGTATGTCGATCTGTCTGTATGTGTGTGTGTGTGTGTGTGTATATTGCGTCGCTTCATACAGATACCCACAATATACACACAATATACACACAATATACACACACACACAACTTACCGAGGGGAGAGGAGAGAGAGAGAGCCACAGAGAGAGAGAGGAGGGGGAGGGAGAGTCTGTGTGCTTCCTCTGTCCGTCTGAGTGCGTGTGTGTGTGTGTGTGTGTGTCCATCACCCCCCACATGTGCTATGCCTGTGTGTTGGAATGGGTCGGCTAGTCACTGCTCGGTATTTTTGGAAGCGGAGCGAGCTGAGTCGCCCTCCCACACACGTACACACACGTACACACACGTACACACACATCCTCATTCACACGCACCAGTCAGTAGTGTACCCCATTCTCGCCTCTTCTTCGCCAGGCAGACAGACAGCCACACGGCCACACGGACAGAGAGAGGGAGGGAGGGGAGAACGAGGGGCCCGAGAGAAGAGTGTGTACACTCACATACATACACCCAGAGCAGAGGAGGGCACGGCAGGGGGACCACACGCAGAGAGACGTGTCTGTAGGTACCAATCCGTGCGCGGGCGTCTGTGTGCGGGAGGGAGGGAGAGAGCGACGGAGAGAGAGGGAGACAGAGAGAGGTAGGTTTGCGTGTGTCGGGTTATCAATCAACCAACAACCAGCCGTACGTAAGTGTACCCTTTTTCGTCACGTGTCCTTCTTTCTCTTCCCTCCAGCAACCTTTCTCAACTCAACATACGATTGGTGAATGGGGATGGGTGGTGTGTGCGTGGATGGGGGTAGATGGGTGGGTTGCTGAATCCTATCGCTCATAGCCGTTCGTTGGATCGATCCATTCATTCATTCCATGACACTAACACCTGCACGTGAGTGAGTGACACAAGTCCATCTGCACATCACATCATATCACATCACATACACATCACAAAACATCACATCACATCACATGAGTGTCATGAGCTGCAGCAGTGCGGTGAAGTGCGGTGCGTGCGTGTGTGACAGGAGGGGCAGAGAGCCCCGCCCTGCTGCCGTGTCGGTTGATCATGTGTGTATGGGTGTGTGTATGTGTGTGGGGGGGAAGGGAAGGGCTGCGTGTGGAATGGAAACCGCAGACAGAGAAATCGAAAGAGCGACCGACCCAGCGAGAGACTGACTTACTGAGAGGGGGAGGTGAGAGACACAAGGAGAGAGGAAGGCAGACGGCTGCAGCGTGCAGTCAAGACAGACAGACAGACAGGCCCCTTCATTCGTGTGTCCGTCTGCGCGTGTGTCTCCATGTACTCATGTGTGTGTGAGGGTGGCCATGTGGTGTGGTGGGTGTATCCATCTGACCAACTAACCATCAAGTTTCGTGAGTGAGTGAGTGAGCGAGTGAGCGAGCGAGTCCGTGAGAGCGTGAGAGTGTTCATCCGGCCGGACCAGAGAGAAGTGTGTGCCGTAGGTAGACTTTAGAAGAAATAACTACTACCAATCCACTGCATTCGCTTGTCCAGCAGAATCAATACTGGACGCTCAAGACCGACGAACACAAAACACGATGGACTCATGGACTGCTAAAAAATCACACAAAACGCTTGCAGTCAGAAGCGGAGACATTGGGAGGCATGCACCCACACACAGACACTCAGACGGAGGCAAGAGAGAGAGAGAGAGGCTGTGAGTGTCCGACCGATGAACAGCCCGTCGACACCCTCGCCCATCCACTCATGGCAGACAGACAGCCAGAGAGGCTTTCAGACAGTGAGGGGAAAAGAAGTGACGCGCACACATCAACACCATGATAGAAATCCACCCCGACAACGATGCTGAATCAATCACAGAAACCACAGTGCACTCCCTCCTTCCCTCAACACAGTGACGACCCACAGACGCAGCCGAAACTCTCTGTCGCTCTCTCACACCACCCCGTCGAATGGAAACGAAAAACACACACACGGCAGACAGAAACCGCCACATGACTGTGTGGGTGGCCGACAGACAGACGACACACTCACTCCTTCGCTCAAAGCCGAGGCACAACGAGGGAGGAGCCCCCGGCCACACACATGAATGGGCGACGCACACAGCCGCCCCCCTCTGTGTGTGTGGACTCTCTCCTACTCTATGCTGACCAAACGCAGCTGATGGTAATACCCGGCTCGCCCTATGATCTGCCTCGTCTCTCCTTCCCGCATCGACAGCATCGCCTCACGCAACCAGTCAGGCAGATTAGACACACGACCCACCCGCCCACGTTCATCGATGTATTTGACCTGGCCGTCGAATGCATCAAACCACCCGATCTCGTCGTACTTGACGCGGTTGTTGGCTGTGGGCACTCTGCCGGTGCCCTCCTGCACCACTCGATGGCGGGCGCCGGAGGGAAGCCGGACGAAGCCATCGCCGTTGCTGCTGGCTGCTGACGAGCTCTCCTGCCGCTGACGAAGTGCGGCGCCGCCGCCATTGCTGCCAATGGCACCACCAGCTGTCATGGGCGTGACAGCCGACTGCAAGGGTGCCTGCTGTTGCTGTGGCTCCTGAGAGGAGAGCGGGTCGGCTGTCCTGCAGCAACAGATTTCAAAGCAGTGAGTGGCGCATGAACGGTCGGAGCTCGGCCCACTCACCCGACCACACACACACACTGACCTGTGCACGTCAGCGAACATGATGATCTGGTTGACAGCAGAGGGCTCGAGAGGCCGCAGCTTATGCCCGACCTCCACAGCGTACCCGCCGTGGCCATCCGCATAGACGTAATGGCTGTAGAGCAGCCCCACTGGCCTCCGGCCAACATCAGGCTCCTGCATGACGACACGCACGTACACAGCAGAAAGTGATACACTACGATGCATGGTGCCTGTTGTGCTAACCTCTGCTGAATAGCCTGATGACGACGGCACTCTGCCATCGCTGTCAGGCGGCCTGGGCTGCCGCCAGCCACCCTGCTGCATCAGGCTGTAAGGCGGCCTCGTACGAACACAGAACTGAGACCTGCAGACCACAGATCACAGATCACAGATCACATCGGAGATTTGCTGTGCTGCGTCTGATCTGACTCACTCACTCGCTCACCTACTCCACACAGATGAGTTCTGCGGCATCAATGGTCATGAACCCCTCTCACTGTCGTCATCTCTTGGCCTCCAGAAAGCTTCTGGCGTCCTCAAAAGCGCCAGATCGTCAAAGATTGCTGTATTCCTGCCGGCAGCAGCAGCGGTTTCAGGGAGCACCCTAGATGGGTAGGATTGAACTCATTGCTTTCTCACTTGGCGCTCACCATTTGTTTGTTCAAGCAAACCCATCAGGCACCAAAGACAAATCACGAGAATCACGAGTACCGTTCCGGGTCCACAGTTGGTGCCATACATGAGGGCATGCAGCCGTCAGCGATCGTACGGAGCTACCTGCACCGAGTGCAGGCATACACCACAACCAAAGGCACCCACCACATATCTCACACACGACGAGCAAAGCAGGCACAACTGACTGATAAAATGACACACATGATCGATCGGATCGATCTTGTACATTACATCGCACAACACACAACTACATGCGTACGTCCCGTGTCCTAGAGAGATGACAGACAGACAGACAGCGACACACACACAACCTACCTACCTACGCCTACGTCCTACAGAATGATGCAGTCACAGAAACACACCCACCACCCAACAATGCAATGCACAGACAAACCACACACAGACCACCAATCGAACTCATACAGCACCCACCACCAGTCATCCTTCTCTCGTCATGTGGAGGCATCCGCCACTGGCTTGTCGGCTGCATCTGCCGCTGGTTTGTTGTCAATCGGCTTGTACCAGTCGAATTGCGTCGCCTCCCCCTTGGCCACCAGGTTCTCGTACTCGCACCTCTGCTCAAACGCCACAGTCTCCCGCTCGGCCTGTGTGAGCAGCAGTGGCGTGACGAACTGCTGCATGACCAGCGAGAAGTCGTTGTCGTTGTCGGGCTGGTGGTGGTAGACGCCACCGGTGGCCAGGCAGAGGTGGTGGTACACTTTGGCCTGCGAGCCGCTCAGGCCGCTGCCGATCAGAAGCAACGAGACACGGATGTTGCTGAAGGAGAGGAGAACAGACCACACGCAGGGACAGACACAGTGAGAGAGAGAATGTGTGTGTATGTCGAACGATCCGCTCTTTGTGCTTACCCCTTCATGCGTGTCATGAGCTCGTTGAAGCCGGTGAGTCCTCTGAATGGAGCTGGGGAGTGGTTGTCCTCCCCATCAGTGATGATGATCAGATCGTGCTCCTGGTCCTTGTAGTCCATCGTCGACTTGTAAACGTACTCCCACAGGTATGTTGCACCACCATTTGCCGTCCACGCCTTGTCCAAGCCGCGCGCCGTCAGTTTGTCGGTGTGGCGGTAGATGAGCCGGCTGTTGCTAGTGCCGCCGATCAGATGCACATTGGTGGGCGTGACATCGAGTCGAGGCTGGAGGGCCTTGAGTGCGCTCTTGCCCTTCTGCAGCCGGCTTCCGCGCATTGATCCGGAGTCATCCAGACACAGATGGCACATCTGGGCGCTCCTCGTGCTGGCCGCAGTCCGTGCGTCCGACTCTGGATCAACACAAACAACGATGGTGTGTCTTGTCTGTTCGTCTGCTGCGGGTCGTCACTCACTGACCGTTCTGAGACTGGGTTTGGATGACGATGACGATTAGGTTCTCCTGAGTGTCCCCCCGACCATACAGCAAGCCACCCACAGTGCCGCCGCTGGTCTTGAGCCACTTGACATGCTCCCCCAACAGACCCTCTTGACGAGTGGTGGCTCCGGAGGCCACGTTGACGGCGTGGTTGAATTCCTCCATGGTCATGTTGGTGTGGCAGTTGATCTGGTGCACCGGGCTGGTCTTGTCGTCCACCTCGAGCTGCACATACTTGGTGATGGGGTCGCCTGGTGGAGCAGCCGGCGGTAGCGCCGACACTTGCGCTCGAGAAGAGGAGGGTCCGCAACCCATTCCCTGTGGCGTCCGCGTGCACGATGAGAGAGGAAAGGAATGGGAGAGAGAGGTCGGGACCTGCAGACAGACCGGTGATGAGGCAGGAAACAGTTTAATCGACTGGTTGGATTCCCGTGTACCAGATGAGTCGTTCACGTGCGAAGGAACAGATCCTTCCTTTTGTGCTTGGCGTTCTGTCGTGCGAGCTGGCATTTGCGAGCTCAGCCCCAAGGACAGGGAGGCAAACCTTCTCGCGAGGCCAGGTGAGTCAGGACAGCACAGGCGACCATAGTAGGACCGAGATCTGATCAACAAGTTCACCTCTGTGTGCCCTCTCTTCTGTGTGTGTGTGTGTGTGTGTGGTGTGTGCAGCATCGCGTTGGATCTGTGAGGATGTCATCGTCTGTGAGCAGTCTGTCGGGCCGTGTGGTGGGTCTGTTTGAGGGCCGCAATGTCTTCACCGACGGCAGTGGGCTGTACATTTTGGTGCAGCAGGGGGAGGGCGGCCCTCTCGCCGGCGACAGAGAGCGGCGGTTTATCCGCAAGACCGACTATGGGCTGATCAGGCTGTTTGAAGATGTCAATCTGGACCTACGGCAGCTGGCCAGCAGGTATCTCACACACAATGGCTGCACTGACTGGCGGCACAGGCAGACATTTAAATGCCCTCTGCTGTGTGTGTGTCTGCTCATTCCTCAGTGTGGGTGTGCTCAATGGGGGCGGCGCCACACTGCGTCAGCGGCAGGAGGGCTCCTCATTGTCACAGCAGCAGACCGCCAACAGCAGCAGTGTTGGCCGTCGGACCGGCACACTGCCATCGACTGGCTACCGATATGAGGTGATCCAGGAGGGCGCCGGCAGAGTGCCGACACTCAACGACCGCGTCAAGATCGACCTGATCGTATGGCGTTATGGATTCGACGGCCAGCGCAAAGCCTTCGAGAATCGTGGGGAGGTGCGTCGTGTGTCTGATCTGATTGACTGGTTGCGTGAGCCGTTGCTGTCGATGCGAGAGGGCGAGATTTGGCGAATCACAGCGCCACCCAGATATCCTGCCCGCTTCCGTCAGCTGCGTTTGATCAGCATAGAGTAGGAGAGACTGCACACACACACACACACACACACACACATGGGGGCGGCTGTGTGTCACACACTCATGTGTGTGGCCGGGGGCTTTTCCCTCGTCGCCTGGCTGACTGGGTGACTGACGGCTTTGAGGGAAGGAGGAAGTGCATTGTGATGTCTGTGATTGAGTGATTCCCCATTGTGTTGTGGCACATTTGTCAGCACCTTTGCCGCACACAGGGGAGGGGGGGGCCTCAGGTTTCGTCGCCTCTGACCCCTCACTGTCTGTCTGTGTCTCTGCCTGGCCGCCATGAGTGGACGGATGAGCGAGTGTGCTCTCCGCTGCTGCCTTATTCATCGGTGACACTCTTTATCTCTCTCACTCTGTGTGTCTGTGCGTGTGTGCGGGGGGGTATGTGTGTGATTGCCTCTTACACTCTTTCTCCCTCAGTGCCATCGATGTGGGTCGCATTTTGCCACAAGAGTGAAAGGCAGCAACGGGCTGAATTTTTATCGCGGCGTTGATGTTTGTCTGTCTGTCTGTCTGCTTGTCTGCCATGAGTGGATGGGTGGGTGAGTGTGTATCCTTTTCGCGGCTGGTTTATCGATCGGTCGGTCACTGTCTCCGTGTGTGTGTGGTGCCCCCGCTCCTTGGTTGTATTGTCTGCTGCTGTGGTTGAGTGTGAGTGTGTGTGCCCGCTTCTGCTTTTATTCTACCCGCGTGTGTGCTGGTCGATCGATCGCTGAATGGAAGCGACACACGTGTGTGTGAGCTGTGACCGTGTGCGTCTGCGATAGACAGACCTCCTCCGTGGTGTGCCTTTTGTCTGTGCACATGAGATATTTTCTGCCAGGTATTCATGAGTGCATCCCACAAAGACACAAGTAATGGATTCAACGAAACGCACTTATGCTCGTATGACTGGGTTTCCCTAGGCGACTTATGCCATGTGCACTGGCACACAGTGGCTTAAGGGAGCCTTATGTCGCGCATCTATCTGTGAGTGAAGACAGACAGACAGACATTCACTCAATTCAGTGGTGTTTGACTGTGGTGTGTGAGAGTTGATCAAGGTGCGAGTGTCTCATTCATCCACATGTGGCAACACACCCCCACAAACAATTATGCGCATTAGCTCACACGGCCCCTCTATTCAGCGATCCACCAGACCACCCACCCTAGCTGCACTCATTGGCTCGTCCAGTGGGTGGTGTGTGTTGGGGGTGTGGTGTCTGAGACGACGGTTGCGCAGCATGTCAAGCTTGACGAAAGAAAGAAGTGAGTGTCTCATTCGCTTGCCCATCCATCCATCATGGCAATCAAACGCACAAATACACACACTCACTCACACAGGCCGGTCGCCTTTATTGAGCGACCCACCCCAGACAGACCGCCTCATAAACGTGGAACAAACGCAGAGAAATCCAGATGCATATGGCACACCGAAACACAAAAGACATTCTCGACACCGCAGAAAAACTGCCATGCCCACGAGACCGACTCGTGTCCTCGCAAAAAACGCTCATTCGCCTCGACCATTGACAGAAAAAACCGATTCCACATGCAGGCAGACAGGGCACACACACACACACACACATCGGCCCTGACTGTGCTCTGCGCAACCACAGAGACAGTCAGGGCCGAATGGGCCACACAGAGAACACTCACCCACCCACAGCCGACAGGAAACCAGACAGATGACAGAAAAACCACACACAGACAGATGGCGAGGCCCACTTAGACGCATCCGTGAAGAAACATTCAGTGACGTGACACCCACATGTGTGTGAGTATGTGTGTGAATGTCCGCCCATCATGCGGTCAGCCCTCGGGACCCCTCCCCGTCACTCACGCCCACCACACAGATCGTCCACCATAGGTACATCTCCATCAACAAACAGCCAGCAGCCGCAGTAATTCACCAACACGTTCACCAGCTGCGGATGGAGCCGCTGGCCCTGGTGCTCAACACCGTAGCTGCATCTTCGTCCTCTTCTTCTTCACTGGCTGGTGGGCGTGAGTGTGAGTGTGGCCCGCCGTGCCGGCCGTGACGTCGCTTCTTGGAGCCGCCACCTGACCTGACACACAACAGAGGAAGCGGATCAGAATGCACAGCTCACTGAGAACACCCCACAGCCGCTGAGAGGGCCTCACCGAATCTCAAGCAGATTGATCTGGTAGAAGCGCACCCCGTGTGTGCCCGGCATGATGACCCGCCGGACCTCACACACACGCATTTCAGTGAGAGTCGCCCGAACCCACTCAGGACACTCAGACAAAGGGCGCAGCACCCCCTTGTTGTCGACTGTCTTGTAGAGGCCATCGAAGCCGTCAGTCCAGCATTCCATGTCGTACCTCACGAGCTGACTGCCGACTGGTCGGCGCCCCCTGCTCACTCGCCACACTTGATGATATAGGCCATTGTCGTGCCGAGGGAAGCCCTCACAGACGCTGCTGCCGTTGGTGGCCGTGGCTCTCTCACGTGCTGTTGCTGTTGGTTGTGGTGATGGTGGTGGCGGCGTGTCGTCGTTCTGCTGCTGGTCGTGTGGACGTCGTCGCTTGGTGCCCGCAGACGGCCTGACACACACGAGGGAAGCCAGATCAGGATCATGCAACAGACACGCGTGTTTGGTGTGCAGGTGACTCACTCGTGGTTGTCGAAGCAGATGGTCATACGATTGTGCTTGGGATCCCACTCGTATGTATCCATCTCGTCTGTGTGAAGAGAGAGGTAGGGGGAACGATTCAAGTAGGGTTTGGGTGACAGGGTTTGGGCAGGTTGACCTTTCTCAATTCTTGAGAACATGAACGGCGGATCTTTGCGGGGCGCATGGTAAATTCCCTTCGGGTCGATTTTTGGGTTGGTCTCGTCCAGTCCTCGCGTTTCCTGCGCTCTTATTTTGCCGCCCACCCCAGCACCCACAAGCACCATGGTGTCGATGGCCGTGATTTTGGCGCTTTTGATGGGCCTTTGCGGGACCGTCCAGACGGCCAGTGACCAACCACAGCCGGGCGGATGCATCGGTAGGCGCAGGAAAGCCCTTTACGCCGATACATACACGCGTTGATCTGGTGCATTCCTGATCTTTGGTGCGAATGGACGTGCTGTTGTTGTGTGGGCGAGGCAGGGCGGGATGCCTCATGCCCGCTCTCTGAGGAGAAAAGCGCCTTCATCGAGAAACATGGTGGGTCAGATCTTCCCAAAAGAGCCATGGAAAGATGGATGTGATGGACGTGTGTGTGTGATGGCTGCAGGCGGGACTTCGTCGGCTGCCCATCTGCAGGCGGCACTCGGCGAGGCCAAGCGCATCGCCCAGGCCGCACACACGGCGAGCGGCAAGGCCCTCACGGCGAGTGGCCATGCCGTGACGGCCATCGAGCACATGGCCACGACCATGCAGGGGCTGGCCAACACGGGTATGCACACACGTAGAAGGTGGCACTGTACTTACTGTACAGTACGGCGACATCCATGGTGGGTGTTTCCCATCTTCCAAGATGCTCTTTTCGGGTGCGAGGTAGTCTTCAAGCCCGAAGAGCCCATAGAGAAGACAGAGGAGCAACTGGCACCCTGGGGCCTGGATTTTACGATTATCTTTGACATCTACCGCTACTGGAGCATGAGCGGCCAGGGGTATCACGGGTATATGAGCGCCTGCGGCAAGGGGAAGGTGTGCGTGGTCAACAAGGCATATGTCGACACCGACAATGACAAATGGCCGACGAAAGCCATCGGCAAGGTGAGTGAGTGTATGGATAAATGGATGAAAATGGGCATTTATACGTTTATGTGTGTGTGTGTGTGTGTCTGTGTGTGTGCAGGGCACTTGCAAGAGCGAGGATGACGCCAAGTCGGTCTGCGCGAAGGAACTCCTGCACACACTTGCCGAGGGCGACGGACACTTCTGCATGACTGCCAACCCAGTAAGTCTCCAATCACAACACGCACCTACAGAACATCATAAATAAATATTGAAAGTGATGTGTGGCGAGCAAGTGTCGAGTGAGTGATGTACACTCTCTCTCTCTCTCTTCGCGTGTGTGTGTGTGTGTGTGTATAGAAAATCACCGTCAAAGACCTGTGTAGAAAACCACCGTGTATGGTGGATCTTAAGGTGAAGGGCCTGGGGGTAAGGTACTCTCCGCCCGCCGAGAAAGGGTCGATGCTCAACCAGATATTCACCGTCTCTTTTCCCGGGGACAAAGGTACGTGTGTGTCTTTCACGTGTCTTTCACGTACGTTCACAGCCACTCACAGTGATTTCTGTGTGTTTATCCATCCATCAGACTTTAAGCTGCCTTCCGAGCGTTGAGAGAGAGAGGAGCAGACGGCCTCCCTCTCTCCCTCCTTAGGTAGCTGACGACAATCCATCCACTGCAGGCACACACAGGCACGGCACACGCGAGGGGGCGGCAAACAGCAAGGCATAGACTGACCATGCCTACAAGCCAGCCACGCAGGCAGCCCATTAGATAGATTGGCATGAGACTGGCTGTGGTTGAGAGAGAGGGTGCGGACGATATCTGTGATCCTGGCTGCCTGTCTGCCTGACATGACTCAATTGATTGACTGACTGACCGGCCGCAATCAATCAATGGGACACTAAGTAATTGCCGGACCTTTCGACACGCTTACTGCATTGCATTCACTCGCGTCCACAGTCAGCCGACTGCACAATTTATTGAGCTGCAAGCAGTCAGTTGCTCGCAAAGTGTGTAGCACACCAACACCAACACCGATGAGACTGTGTACATATCAGTAAGCTGCTGCCCGCTCCGAAGCTCCGCCCCTTAGCTATCGTCCTTATCGCTGTCTCCACCTGCCGCTTGTCCTCAATCCTTCTCGAACGTAGCAAGCGCAGCCAGACGGCGACAATATATAAGTACTCATCTGAAGGAAGGCAAGCAGCGTGAGTGAGTGCAGGCACACACACATGAAAGGCGTGGAAGGCGTACCTACCGTTCTGTGCCCTGAGTGCGGCCAGGTGCTGGGTGAGCTGTTCCTTCCCTTCTCGCCGAGGACGGACTTGCTGCGTGACGGCACCGTCACTCGACCGACACACACGCTGCGCCTCCTTCTCGATGGCCTCGCCACGGCCGCCCTCTCTGACTGACTGACAGACAGACAGACAGACAGGCATCCATTGGCGCAGATGTCCGGTCTCATGTCTCCCTCATGCACCCACTGGCTTACAGTCGTATTAGTTGTCTGCTGCCGCTCCTGGCAGACACACCCACACCACCCACACACCCACACCCACACACTGACTGTGTCGGCAGATGGCAGATCGTCGGCAGATTAGATTGCCAGCAGTGTGGATCGGATCAGTTTCATACATTCATTTCATTCAGACTGTGTCTGTTCTGTACATCAAGGCAGGCAGGCAGGCAAGTCAGCGTCGAGTCGATCACCAAGGCAGACAGACAGACAGACAGGGAGGCATTCACTCATGTACACGTACGTCACTGGCCCACACATTCACACCACACCAAGGCACGCAACGAAGGAATGAACGCATCCAGCCACAGCATGCCATCCATGTGGCCGGCTGGCTTCCACCCGGCCCGGCATCATAAAGGCTCAACCACACTCGCCATGACACACAGACGGACAGACGGACAGACAGACAGACAGAAGTATTCATGACTCATTGTGTGCACCGTATTCACAGGAAGGCAAAAAGGCGGCAGCGAGTGTGTGCCTATGCGGCGTTGGCAGCGGCGGCCGGGATGGGCAGCTCATTTGCGCTGTGCGCCTCTGGAAGTGGGGCTTCTCGTGCGGGGAGGTTGCGCACCTCGTCGGCCAGCCCAAAGGCATAGTTATACACATCCCGGTAGTGGGACACGAAGAACACGTGCAGACCCTCCTGCAATAAACAAATGAATGAACACGTGGATCTCAAACTGTCGGCGTGTGCGTGTGTGTGCACCTTACCTTGATGTAGTCGGCCAGCTCGTCGTAGTCCTTCTTGTTGTCCAGAGGGAACAACAGTATCTGCCACACACACACATCCATCCATCCATGAGATGCTCTGTCACACGCTCCCTCCCTCCTTCCCTCCCCCCCTCTCTCTCGCCCACTCACCCGGGCGTTTTCTCTCCGTGCAGCGATGACTTTCTCCTTGACGCCGCCGATCCGCAGCACCCGCCCCGTCAGCGTCAGCTCCCCCGTCATGGCCAAATCCCTCACAACCGGCTTGTTGACGGCCAGGGACACGAGTGCCGTCGCCATGGTGATGCCCGCCGAAGGGCCGTCCTTTGGCGTGGCGCCCTCGGGCACGTGCAGGTGGATCGTCGCCTGGTCCAGGAAGCTGTTCTTGGGGTCGATGGTCTTGACGAAGTTGCGGGTGAAGGTGAGGGCGATCTGGGAGCTCTCGCTCATGACGCTGCCCAGCTGGCCGGTCACCTTGAAGGGACCGCCCATCGATGAGTCAGGAGTCTCGTCGTCAGATGGTGGCCTGGCGCACACACAGAGCAACACGTGAGACCGATGGATGGAGGGATGGATGGAATGCATCACACCACCTGTCTGTCCGTGTCTAACCTCTTTTTGGGTTTGTCGGTTTCTCGTTCTTCGCCCTCGTCTGACTCCTTCTCGTCGCTTGCCTCGATGGCCTCGTCAGGCTGAGTGTTTACGGGCACCTCTCCCCCCCTGATGTCCTTCTTGAGCCGACCAGTGGCCTCCACATAGAGCGTCGCGCCGCCCAGCTGAGTCCACGCCAGACCCATCACGACCCCTGAGGTCAGACAGACAGACAGACAGACAGATGGAGAGAGAATGTGCATTGTCGAGGAGGGGCAGAGGGGGAGGGGGGAGGCTGACCTGGCGGTGTTTCCTCATATAGCCTGTCAGAGAAGAACGTGGGCTGCCCCACAAATTTGACCAGGTTGTCCAAAGCCACCTTGACCATCTCCTCACCGTCCCTGTCATGACAGCCAACACGCACCACACACCATCCTGTCCGCCTGCCTCTGTGTGTGTGGTGATGTTGCAGCCACTGTGCTGTGACTCACTTGACGATTTTGAGGGCGGCTTTCCTGTAGACCTTTTCGATGAGCTTGAGGAGGTTGCGCACACCTGCCTCTCGCGCGTAGTCCCTGACGAGTCGCGAGATGACGTTCTGCGGCACCTCTATCTGGTCGTCTTTCAGGCCGGTCGCGGTGGCCGTCTGGGGGATCAGATACTCATTGGCAATGGCCATCTTCTCCTGAACGAAGAATCGATCAACAGACGGAGGTGTGGTTGGATGGTCTGGCGTGTGGGGCATGTGTGTTTGATTGATTGGTTACTTGGAAGACGTATCCGGCGATACGGATGATCTCAAGACGGTCAAGCAGAGGAGCTGAGACGGAAAGAAGGGCCCCCCCCATCGATGCGGCCGCACGTCTGTGAGTCTGTGATGGTTTGTGTGGTGAGTGCGTACCGGGTATTGTGTCTGACGTGTTGGCCGTGCAGAGGAAGAGCACCTTTGACAGGTCCACAGGCACGTCCATGTAGTGATCCCTACACACACATACACACACCAAACTCACCAACACTCGCAATGTGTACATTTCTGTCTATCTGTCTGTGCGGTTACCTGAACGTGTTGTTTTGGCTGGGGTCCAGAATCTCAAGCAACGCAGAGGCGGGATCGCCGCGGAAATCACGACCCTGCAAGCCATCATGACAAAGAGCGCATCCATCGCATCCATATATCCATGACAAAGGGCGCCCGACCGACCGACTGACCAGTTTGTCGACTTCATCGAGCAGAATCACGGGGTTGCACGAACCGCTGGCCTTCAACGCCTGCACGACACACAGGGACACCATCAGACGTACGAAACTCCGGTCCATTATCCCCCACCCACCTGGATGAGCTTGCCGGGCATGGCGCCCACGTATGTGCGTCTGTGTCCTCTCAGCTCGGCCACGTCGAAGAGCCCGCCCAGCGAGAAGCGGTAGAACTTGCGGTCGAGGGCTCGCGCCACGGACCGGCCGATGGACGTCTTACCGACGCCAGGGGGGCCCACCAGACACATAATCTTGCCCTGCACGTCGCCTTTAAGCACATTCACCGCCTGACAGACACACAGATAGACAGAGGGAGGGAGCGCATAGAATGACGTCTGGCGCGTCTGTGTGTTGTGTGTCATGCGTCACCATGAACTCGAGAATGCGATCCTTGACGTCCTGCAGGCCGTAATGGTCCTCGTTCAAGATTTGCTGCACACACCACATCATCAAACACCAGTACGTGTGTGCCGTCGGTCGGCGACTTCCGCTCTCACCTCGGCCTTTTTGATGTCTTGGTTGTCGTCGGTGTGGTGTCCCCATGGCAGGCTGGTCAGCCACTCGAGGTAGGTGCGGCACACGTTGAACTCACTCGACGACATCTCCAGGGACGACAGGCGGGACAGCTCGTGGTCTATCACCTGTAGATGAACACACGAAGGCATGTGTGTGACGCGAGAATGTGCGTCGGTGCATTGCTGACCTTCTTGGCCTCCTCAGGGACGGTCTTGTCTTTGATGGCGTCATGGAAGCCCTGACCAACACACACACGCATCGGTCGATCCGTCTGTGTTAGTCAAGTGGTGGGTGTTGTGTACGTACCTGTATGATGGTTTCCTTGTCGTCTTTCTCGAGCCCCAGCTCTCTCTTGATCGACTTGAGCTGCTCCATGAGGAGGTACTTGCGCTGCTCCTTGGAGATCTTCTCCTCAACCTGGGCACGCACCTGGGACTGCAGTCAAAGCCACGCACACAACACACACACACACACACAGACAGACAGACCAGTGAGTGCATCTGGGAAAGGTGTTTTATGTCTCTGTGTGAGGGCGTACCTGTAGTTTTGCGAACTCCAGGTCTTTCTTTGCGATCTCGAGCACCAGACTCAGACGCTGCTCGATGTTCTCCTCCTGCACACACACTCGCACATGGACGTCATGACTGTGTGTGCTGGGTGTGGAACCATCTGTCGTGTGCGTGTGTGAGTGTATGGCCTTGGCCTTGACGACTCACTGCGAGGACGTTTTGCAGTTCCTCTCTCTTGGCCATGGAGATGCCCGCCACGAGATCAGCCAGCTTAGCTGGGTAGTCGAGGTTGTAGAAGCGAATCACCTGATGGATGAATGGATAACACACACGAAGGGAGGGACAGAGAGTGTGTGTGCGTGGATACACACGTGTTGTGTGCAGATCTGCACGGCTGACCGATTCGAAGTGCTCCTTGTAGAAGTATGACGTCCTCAACAGCTCCTTCAACGTGGCCACGATCTCATGATGCAGCGCCTGACGAACACAACGCAATGAGCGCCATGTGTATGTGTGTGTCTGTCTCGCTGTGTGTCACTCACTGACCTTGAGTGTGGTGTTTTTCTCGAATTTGATCATCTCGTCCTGCAGGTACTCGACCTTAACATTCCAGAGGACGTTGCTCTTCTGGTCCATGTCGGTGGGCCCCAGCATCCGGATGCGCTTGTGCGGCATGACGATCAGCTGCCCACCCTGGGAGTTCTGGTGCGGCACGAAGTTGAGCACGTGGATGATCGACCCCGTGTCGTACATGTCCTCGATCTTGGCCACCTTCCCTGCACACCCACCCACACACACGTGGAATAGGCCCCTCAATGTGCATGTCTGTCTGTCTGGCCGTCCATGCACCTGCGTCGACTCTGAGTGTGGCCACGTAGGTCTCTTCATCATCAGACTTGGGCTCCTCCTAAAGACAAAGACACACACACAGACAGATGGCAAACCACTATCCCTCAGATCCACTCATCAATCGGCTCCTTCCGTCCCCCACTCACCTTAGTGAGGAACGCCCCGACGAACTCCTGCCCCTTCTTCCTGAGGTCGAGCAGGAAGTCCACCACCTCCTTGTCCTGCACCTGCAGAATCTGATAAAACCCGGGAAACGCCGGCTTCCGGAACAGAGGCACCGCAAACAACTGCGGGAAATGAGGCACTCCACGGATGACCGACGGAACGTGGCTCGCGCCGCCAGAATCCGCAGATCCCTCTCCCTCTGCCCTAGCCGACTCCCCACTAGCTGCTTCTGCCGCACCGGCACCGCCCGCCGCTGATCCATCTGCCGCTTCACCTTCCTCCGCTGCGTGCTCTGCGTGTCTGTGCCACCTCTTGTGGTCGCCGCCTTTCCGCCGTCCGGCGAAGGACCGATGGGCTGATGTGAGGGAGCAGTGGACGGGGGGACGGGCGTGCTGATGAGGCAGGCATGCCGATGAAACAGAGCTGCGAAGCGTCGGCCAGTGGCGCAACGCGGGAGTGGATAACCGAGTCAGCATGATTCGACAGGCAGCAGCCAGATCAGCGGCTGTCTTCACAACAACGCGTCTTCATCAAGGAACGACACAATTTTGCGAGCTACCAGTGGATTGTCGACCCACTCCCACGGTGAAGGTACTGTTTTCGGACGAAGAGCGCAGTGAGGAGCATCATTCGTCTCTGTGGAGCCATCAAATTCATCAAACCTGCGAAAGAACGTCTCGACGTGCTCATGATGATGGCTTTGTGGCTTGCTATCGTTGCTGCGGCCCTGGGACATATGGGAGAAGGGCGTCATCTCGCCCCTCTCCGTTCATCTGGTGGCTTCCTTGTAGCAGATCTGTCCAAGATCTCTCGCCCGAGCCGTGTGAACAGACTGCTGAGGGCAAGAAGGAACCCAGCGTCAAGTGAGCAATGCCATGGGACTCTGAGTGTGTACATAAAGGAGGGGGAACTCGACTGCTGTCCGTGGCTGTGTGTGGTTCCAGGGGTGGCTCTGACGATGCGAGCGACTGACAAGGCGATTGGGTTGCTCCAAGGTTGCTTTGTATACTTCGACAGCGATGATTGCCATCAGATAGAGGCGGAGGGCCTTCGCCGGCCGATCCGGTCGAGCTGCTGGAAAGACATCAAAAGATTTGCCGACGTCAAATTCACACGGGGTGTGCCGGAAGTCAGGTAACAACCTCAAGATGCTCGCGCAACCGCACCTTCGCTGTGTTTCTCGTGTCAGTGATGGTCAGCTGAAGCCTGCGGGGAAGGCTGTGGGTGTCCTCGACGGTCGTTGCGTCCACCTTGATGGTGAGGAACTTGATGGTCAGGGAGGCTACATAATGGAAGTCGACGGCCAGTGGCGGCCCATTCTCGAGGAGCATTTTGACGAGGTCCAACTTCTTGGCGATGTGTATGCCAACACGACGTGGGACAAAATGTGAGAGTGAATACAATGTCATGCATGCAGCCGTCGTGGCTGCTTGATTGCCGTCAAGTTTGTTTCTTGTTTTCTTTCAGGTTGGACGGATGTGCGGATGCGACACGTCGACCGGCCGACGAACTTGTCAACAGGACATTCATCTGGTCTCCCTCGTTGAAGCTGCTGTACCAAGTGGTCAAGCCCGGCACTGGGGCGGCTGCAACGCAGAACAATGTCATCCGCTACAGGTTTACGGAATGGCGGCGGGGCTTCCCCGGTGACGAAACTAGGCCAAAAGCTAAAGTGAATGCTGCTTGGCGGCCAGTGAAAGTGGGCGATCTGATATCTCAGTATGATAATGTGACCTGGGCACAACACGACACCGGGTACGAAGAAGCAGAAAAGCTTCTGCCGGAGATGCGCGTTGGGGAGGTGAGGCGAGCAATTATACTTCGGGACGGCGCAGGCTCCAAACCCCCCTCCACAGAATACGTTGAGATGGAGGTGTTGGGGATAGAGTAAGGCACGTGCGGCTTGCACTGCACTGCACTGCACTTGGCTGAACGAACACACCATCGTTGCGTGCTTCTTACTAGCTCTTTCGCCGTTCTTTCAGTAGCTTTTCTTCCTGGTGCTATCTGACCTTCTGTTATTTTCCTGCACAGGGCACATTCTCGATGAGTTGTTCTTGCGCTCCCTTCTGCTTCACATGGCAACGCTATTTTCGGGCCTGCCTTCGTCCTCCCGTAAGCTGTGTGTGTGCGCTGTCGGCGTGCTCGTGTCTCTCGATGTGTGTCTGCGTGCGTGTGCGTGTGAAAAAAAAAGCCTCACGAATGACTCAGTGGATGCCTGGTGCGTGAGCGCGGAACGGTTGTTGGTGGGCCTATGTGGTGTATCTATGGTGCGTTCATGTCATTGAGCGTCCATGAATGTGATGTGCCGATGTGGAGGACCGATGTATTGTGCATCATGTGCGCAGTGGAGGGTAACGACACACTTCTTCATCGATCGAGTGATGTGCTCTGCGTGGCTGGTTTATCGGTCAGTCGGCCACTGACAGCCCCTCTCTGTGTGTATGTGTGTTGCTTCTCCACCCGTTGTCTTGTAGCGGTCGGCCTGTCGTGATGGAGCCGTGAGTGTGTTGATTGCTGTCTGTCGTGCTCTCTTGCAAAAGGGAGGGGGACTCTCATCATGTCTGTGTGCGCCTGCCTCTGCTCTCTCTGCCTGCGTACATGTCGACTCATCGAGCGCACTGAGTTGCTGTGTGGTCAATTTGGTCAATGCCTGTCTGTGGTATCACGCCGTGTGTGACGAACGAAATTTGAATTCGAATTCATCGAAGCAAATCCTGGCCATCATGTGGGGGCGGGGAGGGGGGGCCGGGCGTCTCGGGGAGCCCGTGTGGCGAAGATGTGGGGTTTGTTGCACACGCAGCGCACCCCACGCGCGCAGGGCCAGGAGGCCGACAGTGTGAGAGACGGCGACAGACGCCCCAGTGGTGTTGAGGAGGCGTGCTACATCCAGCTGCCGAGAGTGGACGAGGGCGACGCTGCCGAACAGCAGGCCATCCACCACACACAGACAGACCATCCCAAGGACACCTTGCAATGCCCTTGTGGCACATCTGCACAATGACCAGCGCCTGCCTCTGACGAGTGGTGTCTGTGTGCGTCTGTCCACTGCAGATGGCGTCGGCCTCGAGTGAGCACATTCCTCTGCTGCTGGACGATGGACAAGGGCTGATGGAGCCCCAGCTGCCCGACGTCACCGATGACATCACCAGGGCACCGAGACGCTTCGAGCAGGTGTGTTGGTGTCAGTCGACTCTGAGGCCTCTCGGACGTCTGTGTGTCATCTGCAGGTCCCGTTGGTGGGTGCCCCGCCCGCCGACGATCGGGGACCGACGGGAGCACTGAGAGACCTCATCAAGAAGGCCATCGATCAGTCGGATGTGGAGGGCCTGCGGAAGGCCCTCGTCGGTCTGTCGCCTGAGCAAACCGAGAAAGCGCTGACGACTGGAGGAGAGTGGTGGTATGGGTCTGCCATCCATGACGCCGCACGTACGCCTCGTCGCACCACAACACACAGATGATGGCGTGCCCCCTATCTTTGTGCTCCTCAGGGGAGTGTAAGGATGTTGAGGTGTTTGAGGTGCTGCTGGACAACCGGCACCACCTCCTCAGCCTGAAAAGCTGGGTATCTTCCTCGACAATTGCACTCATTCTGCCCATTAGTCAACCGATGTCTTCACTCCTGCCTTCATGCTGTGTCTGTAGCATGGCGACACGCCTCTTCATGAGGCAGCAGGTCAGTGACTCCATCAAATGACGACAACACAAGTACAAGGGTCTTCAACATGTCTCTCTTCGCTCTTTTGCAGGCTGGGGTCATGTCGATGTGGTGGAGTGGATGTTGAAGGAGGATCCACAGCTCTTGAAGATCAAAAACACGGTAGGCTGCACCGCACCTAGACAAGCTATATATCGATATTGTTTCTGGTTATGACTCTGGCAGGGCGGAAGGACGCCTCTCGACTTTGCCCTTGCGAAACAACCGAGAGTCGTCCCTGCGATTGTTGTCGCGGCTGGGGACGTCGCCATGAAGCTGCTCGAGCGAGGCGCGGAAATTGACGGTATGGACGCTCAGCGTCTCAAAGAGGTGGTGCCCTTCACGAAGGGGTTCCTGAAGGACCGCTCTGAGTCGCTGGGCCTCGACAGTCTTCGCTGGTGTGCCTTCTTCCGCAAACTGATCAAGTCACGACCGAGCGACTCCCTCACAGAGTACGAGTGAATGGCGAGGAAGGAAGAGCAATGTGAATCTCTGCATGTGTAACGTGCAGTGACTTTGAGAAGATCTCCAACTTTCAGGAGGCAAAGAATGCTTAACACGCACAGTATCTTCCACTTCTGCATCTGAACATCCGATCGCTGCAGGCGCTCACAGCGACTTTCTGCGGCGATACCAGCGCAGGGGACTTCGGACGGTCACTCCGTGGCAAAGAAAGAGAGTGGTTTGCCCTGCTCGAGTCTGCAGAGCCCCTCACTGTCGTCACACAAGGTAGCCCGCACAAGGGATTTGCCATTTCCGGTCAGTTCGATGGTGTCTCCTCCTTCCTTCTGGCAATGGTTGCGGCAGCCAACTGCATCTCCCTCGTCACAGAGCACTGGTATCCACCATCAGATAAAGCGCTCACACGGATTGCGCCCCGAGATGTCTTCATTACCCGAGTGCTGTCAATGCTGCTGATGTGAGTCGGCAGTCAAACAGCATGATGGAGCCGGACACACATGGCAACTCTTCTTCTGTCTCTCTGCGTTGCAGGGTGGCCTTTGTTCTGCTGCACATCGAGTTGATCCGAGGAAACAGCGGGATTGAGGTGGCCGTAATGGGCCAGTCGGTGTGGCTGTGGGGGGCTCTGGCTCTGCTGACGGGCACGGGCTTCCTGATGCAGGAAGCCTTCCAAGTAAGACAGACGACGAGACATGGCTGACATGCACCATCCCCTGTGTGTGTGTGTGCAGGGCATCCGGCTGAAGGCAGCGTACTGGGCCGACTTGTGGTAAACTATCGGGCATGGTGTACCATGAGTGCCCGAATTCATCTGTACTGTTGATGTGTGTGCACAAATGTAAGGAATTACGTGGATTTCGCAAGCGGCGTCTCCATCATCGCCTTTATTGCCGTCCACTTCTTGAGATACTCGCCGAGGCGGAAGTGAGCTCAGGAATCGTCATAGCGCTGCTCTTTGCCCTGCGCCTCCTCCAACCCGCCAGCCTGCATCCAACCGTCGGACCGCTTATACTGTCAGTGAGAAAGCCATCCAACTACACACACAGCCACAGGGAGATGGGTCTCATGCGGTCTTGTGCCACTCGGTGTGTGTGTCAGCGCTGTTGTGAGGATGTTTTCGGACATCAGCATGTTTCTGTGTCTGTACGTCTACATCCTGCTGATCTGCGCGGGCGTCTTCACCATCCTCTCATCCGACGAAGACCATCAGTACTTCGGCTCCTTCGCCAAAGCCACACTCACACTGTGAGCATGGCAGCCCATGAGAAGACACAGATAAGGGGACACCTGCCCTCAATTTGCCTGCCCTTTCCGCCTTCTTGTGTTGTGCAGTTTCTATGCCGGACAGGGCGACTTCAATGAGGCGCTGAACAACGCCATCGAGAGCCACGACACGCTGGGGACCGTCCTGCTGTTCACCTATGTCATCCTCTCGTCCATCATACTCGTACAAGAGCACCACCCAATGGCACTCATGCACTCTCTTGTCTTGTCTCTCTCTCTCTCTCTCTCTCTCCCTTTCTCTGCCCACATCAATAGCTCAATCTGCTCATAGCGATTATGGTGAGACAGACCCGAGAGGGTATCACACAGCGGCTCACTTTGTGTCTGTCTCTCTGTGCGCGTCAGGCGTCGACGTATGCGGCCATTGAGGAGAAGCAAAGCTCCCAATACCAGTAAGTAAAGACAACCAAGGGAGACGGACAGACAGATGACAGCGGCTAATTTGTAACGGCTCTCTCTCTCCGCTCACCTCTGCAGGCTGCTGCGGATTCGAGTGTTGAATGAGTACCTGACAATGCCGCACCACGAAAGACTGCCGCCGCCATTGAACCTTATCGGTCAGTGCGACAAAAAGACATGAGCCGCATCCATGGCATGTGGGTAACCTCTGTGTCGGTGCAGCTGTGGTCGTCTCGGGGCCCTTGCGATATCTCGCCTCCCTCATCGCCTCCCTCATAAGCGGACAAGGGCGACGTCATTATGTACTCTGCCGCATTGCCTTCTGTGTGATGAAAGCCCTCTACTCCACCATCGACGCACTCCTACATTTTGTCGCCTTCACACCCGTGACCATTTACAAACTGCTGGAGCTAATTCCACAAATGATACGGGGGGGGAGGTACTGTTTTGTACTGTGCTTTCCCTTCATCGTCCTCCTGACGCCCTTTATTCTTCTGTGCGACATCGTCCAAGAAGTGAGGCTACAAGACACGCGAGATGAGACAAGACAGGGAACTGTGAAGTCTTCTCATTTCTCTGGAATGTTCGGGTAGGGGCCGAGTTTTACTTTTGAGGCCACCGAAAGTGACAGCCCGGAGCTGGCCACAAAAGCAAGGGACGAAGCAAGGGACAGATTCAAAGACAGCATCGACAAGTGGATTGAGGCGGCAGACCATCACGACTCGAGCGTACCTGACGTCATGGCAGGTGAGACACGGACGCAGTCAGACAATCAATACGCGGCAGAGGTGACAGAACACTCTCTGCACCGCATTGATTGCTGTGTTTATTTGCTTTGCACCTCAGCCTTGCGGGAGATGCGGACACACCAAGAACAAATGGAAAAACAAATGGACAAGCGACTGACGGCACTGGAGACATACATCAAGGAGAAGATCAAATAGGCGGCGTGGGACACCAAGTGACTGGGTGAAAAGCAGCCACCCAAACGTGATGAATGGTCGATGCAGACTCAGACATCAAGTGCCGACGTGCCTCAATTTGGGTGACGCCCATTCAGCTTCGAAACTTGCTAGTGCTTTCTGGCGGCTGGATGAACGTCGACACAGCGCATGGCTGCATGTGCGCCGTGCAACCACTTTGTCAGTTTGACAGACAGAGATACACTTAAAGTTTTGAATGGAGGGTCGGGATGTGTGTGGTCCACGGTGCTCGGATCAAATCCACAACACATGGACAGAGACACACGCATACGGTCATGCACATCAACACAGACAGACAGACAGACACACAGTGTGTTCGCATGTACGCCAGTCACTTCGGCCTCTGAACAAGCCACTCAGCCAAGTCAAAAGGGGTCGATCGATGGTGAGGCGGCGGCAGCCCCTCTCTCCTCCTCACGCCACCAGAGGCATGTACTTTGACTCTGTTCGACGTGGCGCGAGATCACCAAGCACTTCCACGTGCACCGGTGGCGACATGGCAGCTGCAGGCCGGTCTGTCTTTCTGGCTAGATCGGCCCTCAGGTAGCACCGGCGAAAGCCTGACTGATTGAACTGCTGCTTGGTTGGCTGGCTGGCTGGCTGGCACCATCTTTGTCATGCAGGCAGCTAGCACAATAGGGGGTTGACAAATGTAGCCGGCCGCCCGAAGCAGACAGGCAGGGCGAGAGACGGGTGGATGCATACGCATGCAGACAGGCATGTAGGGAATACGTTAGCCAAGTGCACCAGCTGGCTGATCGGCCCTGGCTGGTCTCGTGGGCCCATCTCTCCTCCTCTTTCCTTCGCCTCTGCCATTCGTGTGTGGGGATGTGCCTCCCATCCCCTGTCTCAGTCAAGTAGCCTCCGTCTTTCACTCACTCACTCACTCAAATCTCCCCCTCGCCTCTCCCACGCAGATTCAGACAACACCAAGGATCGATCGCAGGAGTCTGTTGTGTCTCTCATGCTGCATGGCTGGTGGGTTCTCGCGTGTGTCTCATTTAATCACTTCGACGGGTGTCTGGCCTTGCACAGCTGCTCCCTCTTACTCGTGGCTCTCTGAAATCTCTCCATCTCGCCTTGCAGCTCGTGCACATTGCACGTCGGCCTCATGCGCTCCGTCACACAGCACGCCAACAGCAAGTGGTCAGCCTGGCAGGTAGGCGAGCTGGACACTGCATGCCACGTGTCATCGGCGAACTTGATGGGGATGCTGACAGGCTCGGCGGGCGTGAAGAGCACCTGATAGATCATCAGTGTGCCACCGGTCGTCTTGGTCTCGATGTCGTATTCCTCGAGACCGTCCGGACGTGTCCCCTTCGGGACGAAGCGGATCGTGTTGGCCACATGATCGGTTGGCTCATTGGCTTTCTCGTCCGAGTACAGCGGCCTGTCGATAAGGGGAAAGTGCTGGCAGCACAACGAGCGAGGCAGTTCCATCCTGATCGATCGCATCGATCGGCCAGGCACACATAAAGACGGAGAGAGACATGTGCACACGCACAGATTGCTTGCGTGTATCCGTGCCTACCGGAGATGGAAGCGGTCGAGGACGAATCGATGCAGCAGTGGTCTTGCGATCTTTTGGACATTCATGGCGGAGAAAAAGCATTTGAAGGTTCCTCGAGGCCTTGTTTCGACAGCCTGCTTTCTCATGTCGTTCCAGGCCTTCTCGACCAAAGGAGCCTTCGACACCTGAGACTGCACAAAACACCGAGAAACACACACACACACACACACACACAGAGAGAGAGAGAGAGAGAGGTGAGTGCACCTTCCCATCGATGGAGTCATTCGATACGCGCACAGTGAGTGAGTGCACAGTACACTGATCGACCGTTGTCGAGGAATTGCTCACACTCACTTTCCATGTTGCTTCACTTGACTTGTCGTGCGCTGTAGCTGTGAGGAGGTCCATGTAGGTAGGGATGCGCTTCTGCCAATTGTCAATCAGCTTGAGGCCCGCAGACTCAGCTTTTTCCAGCATCCACCTGATCGAAGTCAGAGAGAGAGAGAGAGACAGGCGGCAGGTAAGCAGCAGGCAGGCAGGCAGGCAGGCAGGCCACTGTCAATGCAACAGAGAGCTGCCATAGTTTCTTGTGTGCCCTGTTCGTCTTACCGGAGTGGTAGATAAGCGAGGCGATCACCTTCGGGATAGCCGCCGCCCACGTCACTGTGATCACCTTCAAACCAAACGTTTTCGATGTGTGGCTCCTGACGGCACGATGGACGATGGAGTTGCGGCGTCGCTCTTAGATGGGACTTTGCTCACCTGTCCCTTCACCGTCGAGTATGTTGGCTTTTCCGTCTCGTAGGCAGAAGGCTTAAAGGCGATGGAAAATGCGTCGAAAGTGCCCCTTTGCCTGGATACAAGCTTGCGGAGGACACGGACATGTGTCTCTCTCTGTGTGCCGACTTGCATGGACCTGCACTCACCCACTCGCTCGTCCAGAGAGATGGCATGGTAGACATGGTCTGTTGTCGGTGCCACATCCAGAACCAGCTCTAAATGAAGCAAACCACACATCCATCCATCTGCATCGACCGCCGAGGTATGGCTCTTCTCTATTTCGAGATGCGCAACGCACTCGTGACATCGTATTTGAGCGATATTGTGTCGGCGACGGCGTCGAAGAGACCGAGAAAGCCTGTGGCCCTCTTGCGGTCATCCTCCGCCATGTAGGACGCGCCCATCCCACCAGGCTGCGTATACTCATAGCGATGCAGAAGGGACCACTTGTTCTTTTTCTCCCGCAAGAAGGTCAACTCCTCTCTGTCAGCAGGCAAGCCAAAGGTGAAGAGGAGGCCTGCAGGCATACCAGACAGAGACAGAGACACAGTGGCAGTGAGTATAAGGCACGGATGACCTTGAAGCAGCCGGCCTGCAGCGCGCCTCGAGAGAAGCCAAATATGAACAGCTGGTCGTGCTTCGTCAGTCCGATTTCCATCAGCCAACTGACCTGCACACATAAACATCCAACCAGCCAGCCCGAAGGATTCTCTCTGTCTGTCTGTCTGTCTGTCTGCCTGTCTGCCCGTCTGCTTTTAGCTTCCCTCACGTACGGCGTTCAAGACGTTGCTGGTGAAGCCTGCGCCGGTCAGGAAAGCGACGGAGTCTCGCACCCCAGCCCACCACTTCTGGCCCCCGAGCTTCTTGTCCGTCTCGACGAAGCGCTCACTAAGCTCGGCCACCCTCTCGGTGCCGACACCGGGGAAATACTTGACCACTTCCTCCACCCCACCTGCAGCCATCCATCCATCCATCCATCGTTCTGCTGCAGGCCGTACTGGCCAACTACCTGTGTGGCCACCTTGGTGGATGGTGTCGGCCAATAGGGCGATGTTGCTATATTCCTCGGGCCTCTCCTTGTCCCTGTTCCTGCCGCTCCCATCGAACAGTACGATCACGTTGTGGTGACGGGCGGCTGACGACCTTTGCACCGACTGTTCTGCCGAAACGAAGAATTGACAATCGGCTTCCTGGCAGATGATGGACGACGCTGCTCCCAGTCGGAGAGCGAGGAGGAATGCGCTGCAGAATGTCAGCGTCGTCATGGTCATTGCAAGAGGCGCAATCGGCCCCCACCGGCAGTGCGAGCTTTTGAATGCAGATCTGCAGATGTGGACCACTTCAGATCTGCAGATCTGCACGGAAGGTGAACTCAAGCGGGATGTGGAGGGAATCAGTGAGGGTGAATGACGTCAGTCATCGTGTGTCTGTGCGTGTGTGTCCAGAGAGGGAGGGCACCATGAGCGACCGCCTTGTCGGATTGTTTGAAGTTGGTGGCCATTTCGTGTATGAGGATGGCAACGGCGGCTATGAGTTCGAGGTCAATGGCCGCCGCGTGGCCATCAAGAAATCGTTACACAACCGCATCATCCACTGCATCGACGACAAGTGGGTTATCCTCACGCCAATCAAGTAAAAGTTGCATGGCTGCCCTCTTGTGTGTCAGGTCATCTGTCGGCTCGAAGCGCCGCCGTCAAGAAGACCAGCACAGCGGGCCAGCAGCGGCAGCGGCAGCGGCAGCGGCAGCAGCACCAGCGGCGGGAGGCGACGGGGCGGCGGCCAGCAATGGCGACAACATTCCTGACGGCTACGTGCGCCTCCCGTCTGGCGCCCGGTATCGCATCGTCACGGAGGGCACCGGCAGAGTGCCGACACTCAACGACCGCATCAAGCACGACGAGATCGGTTGGAGTGATGGATTCAACGGCCGGGACAAAAGCTACGATTTCCATGGGGTGGTGACTCGTGTGTCTGATGAGCGTGATTGGTGGCGTGAGGCGGTTCTGTCGATGCGGGAGGGGGAGACGAGGCAAATCATAGAGCCAGCCGGATCTTATTCCCCCTACGTTCAGCTGCGGTTGGTCAGCATAGAGTAGGAGAGAGACCACACACACACACGTGGGGGCTGTCCATCTGATTAGCCACTGACGGCCAGGCAGCGATGTGTGTCTTAGAGGGCGAAATGTGTGGTATCCCATTTAATGTACCGAGCTATCGATCACACGAAATGTGTGTTTTGTGAGGTTGTGTGGTTCCTGGTCGTGTGTTTGTGTCTATACAATGCAATGGGTGGGCAAGAGCGGCCGCTGTGTGGGTGTTGGTCGGTGTCTGGTGCGTATGAGATGCGAGCGTGTGTGACACACTCGGCCGTTCCCTGACACTGTGCATGGTGCCGCCGACTCACGGACTCATCCATGAGTGTGTATAAGGGTTGATCACTCACTCATCCACTCAACCCAGTCAGTCCACTCATGGTTCCATAAATGCGTCCATCCACCACACCGCCACAAATCCTCATTTTCGCCCCCCCAGACGTCCCTACACCTCCCGAAACACCGACCAACCAACCAACCGGCACAAACATCCTCCATCAAAATTGCCGACCGATCAATCGCCTCGCTCGCCTCTCCTCACCATCCATCCACCCACCTAGCCATGCATCCTGCCCTCGTGCTACAGGCAGTTCATGACACTCTGCAGCACCTTCTGCACCTGCTGCGAGTTGCGCGGATCCGCATATGGTGGCGCAGGCCGTCGGCCAACCGTCTTGGGCCGGTACTGGGCCAGCATTGAGGCCGTCCCGGCCCCGGAAAAGTCGGACAGAGGCGGAAATGAGTGTTTCAGTGCGGCTGTGTCGATGGTGGGTGGCGGGTCGTTGTCCTTCCCTTTCTCTGTCTGTTTGCCTTCTTTCTTTTCCGTGTTGGTCTGGGGGAAGGAGCGGGGCCGCGCCAGCTTGGCGTTGAGCATGTCTATGCCGCCACCAGCGGCCCCAGTGCGAGCACCGAGCCTGCAGCAACGTGACGACATGGGCAGGCGCCTTCGTTACGTTGCGCCTTTTGGTGACCAATACACACCTGCTGGGAGGTCTCTGTGTCTGCGCATCTTTGCCATATCGGCTGTTGCTCGCCAGGTGCCCATGCGGATGCGCCGTGAGAGGCCGCTGGATCACCTTCTTGCCCGACCCCGCCCCCCTGGTGCCCATGTGTCTGTCGATGTCATCGGCGACGTACCGCAGCGTGTCTCTCACTGCCGCCATGTAGTGGGCGTCATTGGATAGAATAGAGGACTGAGACAGAGGCTGGGTGTCGCGAGACGTGCCTAGATGAAACAGAGACACAGACAGCCACATAGACGTGCTTGTCTCTCTCTTCTCTCTCTCTCTCTCTCTCTCTCTTCACATGGCCACCTTTCCCATTGGTGGCCGTGGCAGTGGCGCCTTTCACACCCTCGATGGGCGGACAAGTCAGCGACGGCCCGCCCTCCTTCTTCACAGCCCTCCCCTTGCCAGCAACGGTCTCTTCCCTGAAGCGTGTGTTGAAGTATTTGAGCGTCATGGGGTCGTACGCCGAAGGGTTGTTGAGGTCGAGGTCGTAGCCGATGGCATTCCAGTAGGCCGGGTGCATCCTGCTGCGCTGGTCCTCCTTCTTGCACAAATAGCGCCACCTGGCACAGAGGGAGGGGGGCGGGGGGGAAAGGGGGGCCAACGAGAGAGAGAGATAGAGGCGGTGTGTTGTGTGGAGAAGGATAACAGACGAGAGGGGAGAGACCACACTGATTGCAGCTCACCAGTTATCCTGCTTGACCACATCGCACGCCCTGAGGGAAGGATAGAGATGGCAGTAACATCCACTCATTCAGGGGGAAAGTGCAGGCACGTACCATTTCTTCGGCCCCGTAGCATCTCCCATCGGCCGAAACAAGACCAATGCTCAAAACCACCACTGCAAAGGCGGCGAGGTGGCAGAGTCTGCGTCAGCAGCCGCCTTTCATGGAGGGGGGCAATCGCCTCCGCGCGCAACTCAACAACGATTCTCAGCCCTTCACGTGCCGGGGTCTTGCTGCTCCTGACAGGAGAGGAGGAGCCCGGAGGAAAACGGGGCTGCGGGCTTAGCTTCCGATCTAAGCTCGCATTTTTCGGGTCGTCTGGCCCCAGGACCCTCCCGTCGATGGCGTTGAGATCCATTGCTTTGACGATTGCCGGCGCCCGCTTCGTTCTCTCTCTGTCTTGCGGTGATCTGCCGGCTCCTCCTTGACACGGCGATGTGGACCACATCATGGCTGCTTGGCGGCACTCTGACGCTCCTCATTGGCTCACACGTCATCCTACGCCACCCAGACAACGACAAACACGGCAGCCCCGCCATCAAGGACGGTGAAAGGCTGTCGGCCCACGACGCGGACGAGGAGGCATTGCGGGGCTTCCACGGTGGTCCGGGTGAGTTTGTGGATGTGCTGGCGCGGAAGATCCGTCGGTTGCAGGTGAAGACAGACAGCTATGCGGTGCCCCTTGTCAGCTGGCGAAGGAGGAAGGGCGGATACATGAGCCAAATACACCTGTGTACGCGGCACACACGTGGAATAGGGAGGCAGAGCGGGCCATTGCCTTCATCATACCGTGCGTGTGGCTTGTGTGTGCGTGTGTCAGATTACCACGGCCCGCCCCGTTTTGCGGTTCAGCGACATATTCCTTGCCCGGACAACAACGCCTTTGTCACTCTGTGGGTGACCACCATGTTGGCAGAGAGGGAGATGTTCGGCAAAACCGACACAGACAAAGGCAAGGCACGACGACGCCACCATCATATGCACACACACGGACATACATGGCAACTGTGTGCAACTGTGTGTGACAGACGGGGAGTCATTGAGTGACGAGCAGATGTTTATGGCGTTGGATCGCATCCATGAGTACGCCGACAAGAACAAACACCACGGGGAAGGTCGGACAGTGAGATGGAACAAACAAAGCGACCAGCACTCATGCACCAAGCTGTCTGCTTTTGTTGTCCAGGCATCTTTTACTTTTGGCCTCAGGCGAGGAATGACAGCAGTGGTCTGTGGTACCCCACTCCTGACAACCTCGACGCAGCTATCACCCTTCCACAGGTGTGCATGTCCACACACATGTGTGTATGTGGATGTCTTCATGTGTGTATGTGGCATGTGGTGTGTGCAGAAGCTGCCGTATGATTGGCAGCGTAAGTTGCTGCAGAAGATGCTCAGCATCGTCGGGCTGGGCAACCTCGTGTCGTGGAGGTACACTGAGTGGGGACGGATGCCTGCAAGGCGTAGGTGATCTCTCTGCGTGTGTGTCAGTGCGGCAGTCCGGGTGTTTCAGATCACACCTGACTTCGATGACTCATCCGTCAACCTGGGCCTGGGTGCACACGTGTTCATACACACAGAGAGGCAGCTGGTGACATATGCGTGTGTCTCTGTCGGGGTGTGTGTGTGTGCAGGTGGTCTTCTGAAAGAGGCGGCTGACAGGGGCATGATGAAACAGCAATACCAACAATGGTGCGAGCGAAGCTATGGACAGACCTGTGCATCCATACACCCATCAATGGACACGCGCTCGTGTCTCTCTATCTTTGTCCGTCCAGGTCTTCCCACAACAACAAGCTGTCCTCCTTCGTCAACAACCTGCTGCTATACTCATACAGACCTTCAGCCAAAATCCCTGACCACGTATGCACACATACGCACACGCATTCGATCTGTCCGTGTGTGTCCTCCCTCTCCCTCACCCAGAACACGATCGACGCCCGGTCCTACTTCTGGCTGAAGGAGTTCCTGTGGCATCACCATAAGGACCACAACCTCGCGATCGCCACCACATGGGTATGTTCACTCATCCATCCATCCATCTATCCATTCATCCATTCACACGCATGTGTCTGTCCATGTTCATTTGGGTATGTAGGTGTCCAATCTGACTGAGACACGCCGCACAGGGCCACTGGGCGTCGACATGCCTTTCAGAGTCAAGGAGATAGAGGGAGGGGAAGATATCAACACGCAATCATGTGTCTGTGTTTGTGTCAACGCAATGCAGGTCAACAACGTTGATCTGACTGTGTGTGCGAACGTGTTGATGGGTGTGACGGGGGCCGTCCTCGACCTGCCACACCTGCTGGAGGGGATCGATTCACACACCTACGGTATGTAAATCGATGAGCACGTCTGATGGGTGGCCACACAGAAACATACGAGTGTCTGTCTTCTTGTACAGACTCCCTGGTGCGTTTGTATCGCAACACGTCTTCGCTTGTCGAGTGGGCTGTGTCAAGTGGTATCACGCGCACACACGGG